ATTAGCAAATGAAGGTTCTGTGAGCTTTTCTCTACTTGGAGGAGCCATTTTTTCCCCCAGTCGCATTCTGAGTGCCTTCCCACTTTGCAGTCCTGTATCTGACAATGTTTCTCTGCTATTCATAGTTTTCAGTGACTAGCGATTCGGAAGTAGTTTGTCGCTCTGTCTTCCTAGTCTGTCTTTGTTTGGAAGCTCATCTGAAACCTGTCCACCATGGGTGACCCTGCTGGTTATTTAAAATACTGGTGGCATAGTCCTCAGAATCACAGCAATTCAAACCACCACAGCACGACAGACGAGTGGCGGTTGTGTGGTCGCTGTTAAACACGAATCCCCTTGTGCTACGGCCCTTAAGTCCGGCACAAAGGTGGGATTTCCGTCCTCGCATGTTGCCTCAGTCAAGAGGTGGAAGCGCAGCAGGGGCGACAGGGTTGTAATGAGATGCTTTGGGCTGCACTTGTGGGTCTCTAAGTTGGTCGACCCCGCCTCAAAGCCAGGATCCAATGGATAGGCTGGGACCGCGCCCTCGCGGCTGGCAGCTGCAGTCTCTTCTGGCTAGGCAGTATCCCCCCCATCATCGTCCTGGTCTCCAGACACCTCTCACCCCGCAGCTCCGTGGTCTGGGTTTCATTTAACACCTCCACTAGGTCTGCACAGTTCTCACACATCGCACATCCTTCAGCCACTGACCCCTCCATTAGCGCGACTGTAGATCTGCATATCCTCTTCTGCATATGGCAGGTTGTAAATGCCCTTCCTCAGGACTGCTGCCTGGCTCCTGGTCCCAGAGTCTCCATGTCAGGCTCTCCAGAGCGCTTCCTGCTCCCATCCGCTCAGATGACAGTGCTAAAATTAGTCCACGCAACAAGTGCACAGCCGCCTCCCGGTCTTCCCCCGCCCTCCAGGGCTCTCTAGGAGCATCCTGTTGGCTTTGCAGTTTGGGGATGGAATGAGGCTTTCTCTGTCAACATGACTACTGACAAGTCATCCTTTCTCTTGTAAATCTTGGTCATTGTTGCTGTTAAGAGCTGTGGAGTCAGTGCTAACTCACAGCAACCCTGGATAGCACTTCCAAGGCGGAGGCAGAAAGCCTCATCTTTCTCCTGCAGGAGCGGAGCAGAGTGGCTGGTTGGTTTGAACTGCTGACCAGTGCTTATCGTACAAATCCACCATGGTTCTATTTTAAAGCTTTGGTGAGGTGTAATTGGAGTGCTAGTGTGGCGCTGTAGGATCAGCACCAGACTGCTAACCACAAGGTCAGCAGCTCCTCAGAATCCCTATACAGGGTCGCTGTGAGTCGGAACCGACTCGACGGTACTAAACACAGCAAGGTGTTACTGATGTACAACAAACTACACATATTTGAAATGTTTGGTGACTCTTGTACAGACAGCTCTTTTCCCTTTGCTGTCAGTATTTTTCATGTACATTAGAAAGAAGGAGCTTGGGGTGGGGGCGGGGGAGAGGGGGAGAGTGTGTGTGTGTGTGTGTGTGTGTGTGTGTGTGTGTGTGTGTGGTGGGTGAATTCTAGCCCTAGTTGTTCGTGGTTGTCCTTAAACTAGTAGGAACCTTCTGTTGTCTCTTCCTGCTTTGGGATTTTGTGAAGGTATGGGAATGAAGACTACATTCCCCGTCAGTTACGGGGTTCCGACATATTGGAGAGCAGGGCAGTCCCTACTGCTCCCCAAGGGCCACCCTGTTAAGGGGAGATGATCCCTTTGCTTTAGACAGAGCAGCCTGACTTTTTCTCTTGCTGATATCATGGAACCCTTTCAATAAGATTTTACTATGAACAGAGCGATTCTGTGATTTTTAAGAAAGAGGTGAATTCTTCCCAGTGAGACCATGCTGGAGAGCGACTGGGTGGTTTAATCTGAGGCTGGCATAGCCAGGTTGCACGTTAGAAAGGTGGGACAGAAAGACGGGACTCGGGGAGATCAGTCAGGAGGCTGCTGCAGGCTGCCCAGCAGGAGGGGACAAACCCAAGGGTCCGTCTTCCACAGGAGACAGATGTGACAGATTGACAGCCTCAGAAACTGTACTCTGTCCTATAGGCTCGACTTGATGGCAGTGGAGGGGGCAGAAGGACACAGAGAGGGGAACGGAGACAAGAAATATTTCGGAAGTGGCACTGATGGCACATGGGGGTGGGGTGTGGAGTCTAGAGGAATGCCTGGATTAGACAGGGTTGTTGTTGTTCAGTGCTTTTAAGTTGGTGGCAGGTCATAGCGACTTTGCAGAGGGTTTCCAAGGAGCGGTTGATGAGTTTGAACCGCCGACCCTACAGCTAGCAATCCAGTGCTTATCTTACAGCGCCACACCAGGACTCCAGGTGGTGTGGTGGTTGTTGAGTGCCATCGAGTCGGTTCTGACTCATAGCGACCCTGTATAGGGTTTTTGAGGAGCAGCTGGACAATCAGTCCAGCTCATTAACCCACAGCGTCACCCCAGGACTCCCCAGGTGGGGTAGCAGGGGCTTAAATCATGGAGACAGGGAGCAGAGGAGGGGAGGTTGTTGGGAAACGTCGAAGGGCTCAGCTTGGACATGTTAGTTTGAGCTACTTCTCTTACAGTGTCTCTGGACAGTACAAATGGCTAATATGTTCAGCTGCTAACTGAAAGATGGGAGGTTCTAATCCCCTCAGAGGCTGCTCGGAAGAAAGTCTTGGTGAACTACTTCTAAAAAAAAAAAAAAAAAAAAAAAAAACCAACCAGCCATTTTATGACACGTGGGGCCACACACGTGGGGTCACTATAACCCAAGGACGATTTGATGGTTAGTTTAAGAAATGTATTTTGTGTACACTTGTCAAGATGTGATTGTCAAAACTGCACTATCTACAATTAACCTGCACTTCTTGGTGTGGTGCTGTAGGATCAACATTGAACTTCAAGCCATAAGGTGGGCAGTCCAAACCCACCAGCTGCACCTCGGAAACCCTATGCAGGGTTGCTGTGAGTCGGAACCGACTCAACAGCCCTTAACGTGTTTGTCACAGGATCCCTGGCACTGCTGTAGAATAAGCACCGGGCTGCTAACCACAAATTCAGCAGTTCAAATCCACTAGCCACTCTGCCCGAGAAAGATGAGGCTTTCTGCTCTGGTAAAGATGGAAACCAGACACAGGGTCACTGTGAGCTGGAAGTAACTTGTTGGTAGTGGGATTGGTTTTCTAGCGTGGCTTTGCATTTCACAGGACACCATGTTTGTATCCATGCTGTGACCTGTCTTCCTGCTCTGCACACGGACAAAGAAAAGGAATCTGGCTGGATGGCAGCAGAAGGAGAGTTGATGGGTTTGTGTGGGGTTTTAGTGGGCTTTTTCAGATGGCATGAAGAGAGTTCATTTGGCTTCTGGGACCCTCCTGGGTGACAGGTGGAGAGGATGTGGGCTTGCCTCAGGTTCACTGTGTGTGATTAGGGGCCAAGGGGATCCGTGCTGAGTCCAGAAGTCTCTGAAGGACTGAGGTGAACAGTGAAGGAGTCTGGGACAGTTACGGTGTTATTTTTAAGTCAGGCTTGAAGCCAGAGAATTTTTGGAACTGGTGTTGACCTTTGGAATTACACAGGGCAGCATTTCTCAACGTACTTCCCCTGGAGTATTGGTGGAGAAAACCGGCCTCTAGTTGGGTCATGTTGGAGCGTCAGATGTACAAAGCCAACAGACATCTTCAGGAGGGACTTCTTGGCACCTTTCGTTGCTTGCTGTACACCGAGTTCAACGTGTCATGAGACCAGGTCGTCATGAGCACTCTTTCCCATGGGCGCTTGGCTCTTGGGAGCCTTTTCCACATGGCATTCTGTGAGAGTTCTTATTCCACACCTGGGGAAAAATTGCTCCTTTGCTTTTTAAAGGGATGAAACTTTTGTGATTCAGAGTTTGGATCTGAAATTCAGTGAACTCTGTTTAAGCGGGTGTCGTGGTCTCCCACCTCTGTCTGCGCAGTCCTTTCTTCAGAATTCGCTTTCTTATGGCACACGGAGCAGACTCTGTGTGCTGCCCCACGCTACCCCCAGCTACACACTCCCTGAGTTTATATCGTTCTGGGCCACTGGGCAGTCTGCTGCAGCCATTGTACTGTGGACCAGGTGCAAATGCGTGTTGTGGAGGAGAGGGGAATGTCAGGGTCAAGATTCAAACCTCTGTACCATGATGCTGGGCTTCAATCCTCAGTACCATGATGATGTTGTTGGTAAGTGCCATCGAGGTTCCAACTCAAAGCAACCCTGTATAGAGTTTCCGAGGAGCAGCTGGTGAGTTTGAACTACCGACCTTGTGGTTCAAACCCACCTTTCCATCTAGTGCTTATCCCCTAGATTGAATTCCATGATGCTGGTCTTCACTGCTTCAGATACTCCCAACCCTCTCCCTCCTCGTACAAGTGTTGGAAGCACAGGGCTCCGTGCGATTTGTCAGCCTGGGACAGTCTCACTAAGCGCGTCTGTGAGGTCTGGGTCAGGAGCCATAAGCTCTTCCCTGGTGGTTCTACTACTGGCTGCCTTTCTCCCTCTCTACCTCAGGAACTGGATACTTTCCAGCCGTACCCTATTGAAATCGTGCCCGGAAGAATCTACCTGGGCAATTTCAGCCAAGCCTGCAACCCTCAAATCCAGAAGGATTTGAAAATCAAAGCACACGTCAATGTCTCCATGGACGTAGGACCATTGTAAGTAAATGAGATACTATTGAATTTCCTTTTCCTAGATAAAATATCACTTATTAATGCATATTCCTAGTGGTATCGTTATGAAAGCTTAGAGTCGACAGGGCGCTTCGAAGTCAGTACTTGCTTTGTCTCTTCCCGGTCCACAGTCTGTTACATGGCCTAGTTTTCCTGCCTCTAAGTGAGACTCAATACTTGGCCTTGAAATCTGACCCACAGTAACACTCTCCTGGTGGTGAATATTGCAACTCAGAGCCACCTCTTCTCCCTGGTTTACCTGTCTCAGGCTCACGTCTCCGGTTGATCCTGGTGCCAGGGACACACACACACCCTCACACTCTTTTGTGGAGCAGGAAAGCCCAGCACAGCTTTACTTATCAGCCTTTGTCTCCCCAGCTGTATTTAGTCATGGTCCAGCATGCAAACCCCTCTCCTCCTGGCTCCTGCTAAAGCTCTAGTAAAGATTCAGCTCCTGGTGTGGTGCTGTGGGATAATGCACTGGACTGCAAGGTTGGTTTGAACTGCAAGGTCGGTGGTTCCAAGTCACCAGCTGCTTCTCAGACACAAGGTTGCTATGAGTTGAATTGACTCGATGGTGCTTAACAACAACAACAACAAAGATTCAGGTCAGGGAGAATTTGTAGGAATAACACAAAAATTCTATAAGAAATCTGGTAACAGAAATACGATGTAAAAGTAAATAAGCTTGATTTATTGATATAAAAAGAATAACCAGTGAACAAAATAGGAAAGATCCAATTTACAACAGCAAGGAAAAATGGCAAGATGTGTAGGGCTACGTGGCTGTCATTAGTGACTGCTCTCCTCAGGGTCGCAAAATGTAGGTAGACCCTGATACAGTGGGAAAAAAACATGGAACAGAACTTCACAACTTCCACAAACAAAAACAAATAACTGGAGCTAAGCCCTACAACATTCAATAGACTTCTGTGAACCCGAGTGAAGACCTGGTTGGCCAGCAGTGTGGCAAGACCTGGGGACTCTTGGGCCCAGAGTCAGTGACATAGCCACA